GGGCCCCTTCTCCTGGCCTGCTGTCCTGGAGAGACACGAGGGGACTGAGACAGAGTCTGTATTGCCACATCCGAGGGGCTCAGCCTTCCTGGTACTCCTGCTCATGCTCCTGGGATTCCGCCCTCTTGCACACGTTTGCTGGGTGCCTCTCCGAGCCCGCACTGCTCCCTCCCTTCCCCGCCTTCTCTGGACTCTGGACTCCCTCTCACCTGTACCTGCTCTGGTTCCTGGGTCAGGGTTTCTCAACAGCAGCTGTTGGCGATTTGAATGAGATCATTTTCCTTGTGTAGGACTTGTTTAGGGTGAAAGGCTGAGTATTCCTGGTCCCTTCCCCCTAAATGGCAGTAGCATGCCCCAGTCACTGTGAAGACCTGGCAGGGACACCTGAGTTCACAAGTGTTCCCTAGGAAAACTGCTCCAGCCACTTCCCTCAGTCCTCAGCGGCTCCATCTGTTCCCTGTGCACATAAGTTTATACTGTTTCTTTCCCCTGAGCTTCAGACTGGTTTCTCCAACCACCTGCCCATTCCCTCTACTTCTGGGTTTTTATTTTTTTATTTTTTTATTTTTTTTTTGATTTTTATTTATTTATGATAGTCACACACAGAGAGAGAGAGAGGCAGAGACACAGGCAGAGGGAGAAGCAGGCTCCATGCACCGGGAGCCCGACGTGGGATTCGATCCCGGGTCTCCAGGATCGCGCCCTGGGCCAAAGGCAGGCACCAAACCGCTGCGCCACCCAGGGATCCCTACTCCTGGGTTTTTAAAAGATTTATTTTGTTTTTTATTTTTTTTAAAGATTTTATTATTTGAGACCTTGTGCAAGAGCGAGAGAGCACCTGAGCAGGGGGAGGGGCAGAGGGAGAGGAAGACACCTCGCTGGGCGGGGAACCAATGTGGCACTTGATCTCAGAACCCTGAGATCATGACCTGAGCTGAAGGCAGATGCTCAGATTGAGCCACCCAGGTGCCCGTTTTGCACAGCTTTACGTTGTATGTAGCGGTGTATCATTTATTTGCATTTTTGTTCCATCGTATGACTATACCACAATCTCTTGATCTCTTCTATTGATAGATACTTGGGTGTTGTGTTTTTTGTTTGTTTGTTCTTTGGCTGTGTGTGAATAATGCTGCTATGAATTCACTGCATACATACAATGGGGTAGTAGTCAGCAATAACAAAGAATGAAATCTTGCCATTTGTGACAATGTGGATGGACCTTAAGAGCATTATGCTAAGTGGAATAAGAGAAAGACAAATATCAAATGATCTCTCTTACATAAGGAATCTAAAAAAAAAAAGAAAAACAACTCCAGATAGTACAGGTTGGTGGTAGCCATGGGGGGTGGGGGGTAGCCGTAGACAGAGTAGGTAAAAGTGGTCAGAAGGTACAGACTTCAGTTATAAATAAGTCCTGGGGAGGTAATGTACAGCATGGCGACTATAGTTAATAATGCTGCATTGTACATTTGGAAGTTCTCATCATAAAAAACAGTTTGTGACTGCGTGTTGGTGGAGGTCACCTAGACTTACCGTGCTCATTTCAGTATACAGATACCAGCTCCTTGTGTTGCACGCCTGAAACTAATGCGGCTGCGTCTTTCTATCACCTTCTTCGCTGTACTCTTCGGTATCCGAAACACTCTGTTCACATGTTTCCTTATTTCCTACCTGTCTTCCTTCACTACCACATAAGTTCATTGATGGCAGGGACCTTGTCTGTTCTTCGCCCCTGCGTGTCCACTGGCTGGAGAGTGCTTGGCAGACAGCAGCATAGCTGACAGCTAACGGTTGGCCACTTGTAGTCCTATTGGCTCAGACCACTGCCCGAGGCTTTGTACTGCTCCTCAAAGCTCCAGAGGGCCAAGAAGAATTGTCACTATGTACTTTTCAGTACATCAAATTATGTAGCAAAAGAGAGAACACAAGCTTTCCAACCAGCTGCTGGAGCAGTATTTTCATGGCGATAGTGAAATATTTAAATTGTGCTGTGTTTATCAGGTTTAGATTCACTGCGGCATTTCATCAGTGATTTTTTTTTTAAGATTTTATTTATTCATGAGAGACACAGAGAGAGAGAGAGAGAGAGAGAGAGAGAGGTACAGACACAGGCAGAGGGAGAAGTAGGCTCCATGCGGGGAGCCCGATTTGGGATTCGATCCCAGGGCTCCAGCCAGGCTCACGCCCTGGGCTGCAGGCAGGTGCTAAACCGCTGAGCCACCCGGGAATCTCCCATCTGTGACTTCGATGAGTTCTCATGCTGCTCTTGCTTCACGCTGTTATCCTTGGTATACGTCTGCTTTCTCTCTTTAGGGAGAATGTGAAGTGTTGCAGTACCAAACTGCCTAATTGCATCCAGAGATATATTTCATTTCCCCTTTTTCTTCCAGAGGTGGGTTCCTGGGGGGGGGGGGGTCATTAATAATTTGTTCTGAGTTGCTCTGCACGGCAGCATGTTGGTGGCTTCCTAGAATCCTAAGTGTTTCTGCTGCCTGGATTCTTGGACACATCTCTTGGTGCACACATGTGCACACTTTACTGTGTGGTTATACTCCTAGAAGAGGTGCATAGGATAAGGTATGTGGGAAGGGCATAGAACCTATATGCCCTCTGTGGGTGCACCCCTCTCCCAGCACCGCCACATGTGTACCCTCTCAGAAGCTCTCTGGACCCCATCCTGTTAGGGTTTACGGGGGTTTCCACCAGGGGGCCTGAGATGACGCATGGACTCCATTGCCAGCCCTTCCCCCTCCCTGGGGTGGGGGGTGGGGTGGGGCCTGAAAGTTGGGAGCTTCCAGTCCTTCTTGCTCTTTCTGGCCTCCAGCCCCCACCCAGGAGCCATCCAGGAGTCCACCTGCATCACCTCATTAGGACAGAAGACGCTCTGAGTGCTCTGGTCACTTAGGAAGTGAGGAGGGCTTAAGGAGTGCCGGACTGGGCCCTGGGGGGCTGGGGACAGAGACCAGGATGGAGATTTTCTATTATTCACATGCCTCCTTTCTCCTTTTTCTTATGTATTTTGATTTTGAATTTTTTTGTTTGGTAGTGTAGGAGGAGAAACTTTATTTTTTCTGCTTAAATATTAGCATCATTTGTGGAAAAGACTGCCCTTTTACCTCTGTTGGAGTTAGGGACATTGACCCCTATACATTCAAAAATATATGTCTAGCTTTGCCCAAAAACTTAACTACGAGTAGCTTGCTGTTGCCTCGAAGCCTTATGACCGTGTATACAGTCGGCACATGCTTTGTATGTTATAGGTCTGCGCACAGTGTTCTTAAAGAGGGGCAGCTGGAGAAGGAAGGCTACTAAGGGAACAAGGAAGAGGGGGGCCCGTGGTGGTCAGGGCTCCCGCCGTGTTTGCACAGGTCTGCTTCCGGACACTCTCCGTCCTGGTCCCTTGGTCCACTTGACCCACTTCCTCACTGTCACACGGCCTCACCAGAGCTTAGTAATAAGCCTTGATACCCTTAGGTGGAGTTCCCAACTTACTCTTCTTAGAGTGTCTTGGCTGTGCTCACTTGTTTGCATTTTCGTGTATCTTTTAGAATTGTCTTGTCGCACTCAAAGAAGAAGGCCGGTTGGGATGTTGGCTGAGGTTGTACGGAATCTATAGACTCGGTTTGAAGAGGGTTGACAACTTCATAATGTTGAGGGTTCGACCCATGAACTTGCTCCGATTAGTCTTTAAAGCTCTGACAATTCTGCTATGTTACAGATCTGACATCTTTTAAAAACTTATTTCTACATTTTCCCATTACGATTGCCATCTTTTAAAGATTTTTCTAGCTTGCTCCTACATAGAGGCACAGTTCAGTTACATGTCTGGACCTCGTAGTCAGCAGTGTTGGCAAACACTTTTTCTTACAACGCCTCTTGATTCTTCTGGACCTTGTACATATGTGCGCATAGCACCTGTGCGTAATGGCAGTTTGACTTCCTCTTTTCTGAGCCTTATGGCTTATGTTTATTTGGCAAAGATTTATTAATTTTATGTCCCTTCAAAGAACCAGTTTTTGGTTTAGTTTATCTTCTGTTTATCTGGTTCTTACTAGACTGGTGATGTCGTCAGCACTTGGGCCCAACAGGAAGTGCATCTGTGGCCAGATTCCTCACTCCCAGTGGCCACCCTTCTTGCCCTCGACTGTTTTCATCTTGTGCTCTTTGCTTTTCCACATTTCTGTGTGGCTTTGGTTTCATTTTGGAGCTTTCCATATAAAAGATGAGGAGGCCAGGACTTGAAATGGCATTTCTTAGTGGCAGGGCTGGGCCTCATCTTTCAACAGCCCCTGACCTTTGGAAATTGCTGCCAAATGCTGCTGCCTACTTGTTTACACGGAGTGCTCAGATCTGACAGCGTGGAGCATCACAAGGGGGCTCACAGATTTGGTGGAGCGGTCCTGGGGGCCAGCAGCCTGCCTATCTGAGCTCCATGAACTGCTTCATGAGCGGAAAAACTTGTGACGCCTCTTAGAGTGATGGGAAATACCATTCACTAGGAAAATAATAGACAATGTTTGATTTATGAAATTTAATCAAAATAACTAGCAGGAGTATTTTTGAAAGATAATTACCCCACCTCCTTTTTTAAAAAATATTTTATTTATTTATTCATGAGAGACACAGAGAGAGAGGCAGAGACACAGGTAGAGGGAGAAGCAGGCTCCATGCAGGGAGTGGGACTCCAGGATCACACGCTGAGCCCTGAGCCAAAGACAGCCACAAGACCACTGAGCCACCCAGGTGTCCCTGATAATTAGCCCTTTTGTTTCTTCATTTGTAAAACAAGAGGGTTTATACCTTAAAAATTCTCCTTTTTGCTGGTATAGAGTTTATATAGTCTTTGTTAGAAACGTAACTGGGATGGGCACGCACTTTGGGGGAAACAGAATTTTACTGTGTACTCTAATTTTTAGTTTTATATGCTTTTAAAAGTTTTGTTAAAATGCTAACCTAATGTTCATTCTATTTCATAATGGTTTTACTTTTTCATTTTATAGAATTAACACTGAATCCTCCAGAAGGAATTGTGGCAGGTAAGGCACTGAAATTAACCTCTGTATAATCCACTTCTAACCGCCAATGTTGCCTTCCAAGTTAATTGTGGATTTTTTTCCCCCCCTGCAGGCCCCATGAATGAAGAGAACTTTTTTGAGTGGGAGGCACTGATCATGTAAGTTAGTTATGTGTAACTAGTTTTCGAGCCTTTCCTGGACTTCAGACCTTTGAGTCTGTTTAGCAGCGGGCTGTGCTCAGAAGTGTCCATTTAGAAAAAAGACTTTGCTCATCTCTTGAATTTAGTCTGCTAGTCTGAGAGCAGAAAAGAGCACAGATGTGTATCCTGAGAAATGTTTCCTTAGAGCCTGTCAAAGGTTTAGTCGATTTCATTTCTGTAGAGTTTTACAGTATTAAGTTTTGAATGTTGTGTGGCTGTGCAGGGTGAGCTTCAGACACTGTCGGGGGTTTTGACTTCAGGAAGTTCCTAAGAGCTCAAAGCTTTAAGGAGGAAAGGCCCCTTAGGACGAGGGGCTGGGGTGTGGGAGGGTGTGTTTGGCGGGTGAGCCCCCAGCCCTGCGCCCCATGTGCACTCCCCCCCGCCCCCACTTCTGTGGAGCTTCTCCTCTGCTGCTGCTTCTTTCTCTGGGCACCTCATCTGGCCTCCCATTGCCCCTGACCCCAGAATGTGGCTTAGTTCTGAGGCGAGCAGTGTGGTTTCTGGCCCTGTTATACAAAGATCAGGAGTGGATTTCGTACTGCACTTTAGTGATGTTACTTAGAAAGAGCCAAGATGGACCCCTGATTCTAGAGTGTTCAATGGTCCTATGAGCTAGGCTCTTTGTTTGCCTTCCTTGTACTTTAGATGTATAGTTTTTGGCCATCTGTAGACTTACTATATTTTTAACAAATGTGGTTAGTTAAAATATATTAAGTTGAAATTTATCCCCAGTCTTCCACTTTTTTCATTAGTAAAATCGATGGTTCAATCATTTGGCAGGTGTTGGGGTTGGATTTCTGTTGGCTTGAGAAACACTGTATGGGAGGGGCCGGGGCAAGCGTGCACTTCAGACATCATCACACTTTGTGAATCTGCCCAGTGCCTACATCTCATTAGTTCTTAATGCTTTATGTGTTTTAATTTTTATGTTGAAAAAGATTTTATTCATTCACTTGAGAGAGAGAGAGAGAGAGAGAGAGAGAGCAGGAGCTGGGGAGAGGCAGAGGCAGAGGGAGAGGGAGAAGCAGACTCCCCTCTGAGCAGAGAGCCAGACCTAGGGCTCTGTCCCAGGACCCTAGGATCAGGACCTGAGCTGAAGGCAGACCCTCAGCCACCTGAGCCACCAGCCAGGCGTCTCAATGCTTTATAAGTTTTAGAAACAGATTGCTGCTACATGTTGTCTGTGGAGGTTAGATTAATACATGGAAATCAATGAGAAAATGAAGTTTTTTTGATAAGCAAAATATTTTTAAAATCATCAATAAATACTATCCAGAGAAAATACAGCAAGCACGATGTCTCCTGATAATTTGTAATACTCTACTTGCTTGAGCCTATGATGCCCATTATTTTCTGTGTGTTTAAATATTTTTGGCATGAGGATGTCTTTACAATCTGTATTTGTGTCTCAACTGCTATTGTATCTTTTGTCCCTGAAAGCAATACAGTGGGATGGTGAGTCCTGCTCAGCAGTGTCCTACGTCTAATGGAACATGGCATTGTCCACTGTGTCAGCCATAGATCCTTTTATTTTTTAGGAAGCAGAGATTCCATCACATAAACTTGATTTGTACCCCCTTTTTCCATTTTCTGAACCCCGTGTATTCTCTCTGTGTTCAGGCAGGCACCTGTGCATGCCACCTGGGCAGCCAGCCTGGTAGAGTACATGGGTTGTTGGAAGGTTTGAGCGCACAGGTCAGTGGGCCCCTGGCAGGGCTTCCATCTTGCAAGATACTGGCTTGTGCCCATCAGCAGACTTAGAAGCCTTTTATTTATTTATTTATTTATTTTTATTTTTTTTATTTTTAAAACTTATTTATTTATTTAAAAAAAAATTTTTTTTTTAGAAGCCTTTTAAAGGGACATGTGAGCCTTCCCGTATGGTTTCTAAAAAAGTGTTAGGCTAACTAAACTTGTTAGGGTAACTATTACTAATTTTAGATGAACACTATAAAATTAAAACCAATATTTTGAAAACACACATTAGTACTTAGTTGCAAAGGCAACAAAAGCAGAAATCAAGTAGGATGTCAGCTGAAGTTTCTGCATAGCACAGGAAATCATGGACATAATGAAAAGGCCACCTACTGATTGGGAGAAAATATTTGTGATTCATAGCTCTGATGAGGGCTTAGTACCCAAAATATAAAAGAAATTCACATAACTCAATAGCAAAAAAATAAACAATCAAACAATGGGCAGAGGATCCGAATAGACATTTTTTAAAGAAGACATCCACAGGGCCAATAGGTACATGGGAAGGTGCTCACCATCACTCATCATTGGGGGAATGCAGTTAGAACCACAATGAGGCATCACCTCACACCTGTCAGCGTGGATATGACACAAAAGACAAGAAACATGGGATGCCTGGGTAGTTCAGTGCTTTAGCGCCTGCCTTCGGCTCAGGGTGTGATCCTGGGGTCCCGGGATCGAGTCCTGCATTGGGTTCCCTGCATGGACCCTGCCTCTCTCTCTCTCTCTCTCTCTCTCTGCATCTCTCATGAATAAATAAATAAAATCTTAAAAAAAAAAAAAAAAGACAAGAAACAAGTGTTGGAGAGGATGTGGAGAAAGGGGATCCCTCGAGCACAATGCAAGCTGGTGCAGCTGCTCCTGAGAACAGTGTGGAGGTTCCTCAATAGCTAAAAATAGCTTCTTGAGGAACGACCCAGCATTTGCACTTCTGGGTATTTACCCCAAAGAGAGTGAAAACACCAATTCACAAAGATACCTGCGACTCCTATGTTCACTGCAGCATTACTTATAGCAGCCAAGACATGGAAGCAACCTGAGTTGCTCTCTACCAATGGATGAATGGATAAAAAAAGGTAGAGTGTGTATATACATGTACGTGCACACACACGAGTAACACCTATAAAAAATGAAATCTTGCCATTTGTGAAAACGTGGATGGACCTTGAGGATATTATGCTAAGTGAAATAATTCAGAGAAAGATAAATACCATGCGATCTCACTTATAGGTAGAATCTAATAAACAAACAAACAAAAAAACAACCCCAAATTCATACAGAGAACAGATTGGTGGTTGCCAGAGGTGCTGGGGGTGAGTGAAAAGGGTGAAGCAGGACAAAAGGTACAGACTTCAGTTAGAGAATAAATCTGTCTGGGGAAAGGAACAGACGGCATGGTTAGTATGGTCAGTAACGTTGTAGTAGGTATTTGAGTCTTCAAGACAGTAAATCTTACAGGTTCCCATCACAAGAAGTTTGTAACTTTGTACATGATGAATGTTCACTAGGTTAACTGTAGTGAATCCTTACGCTGTACACCTGAAACGTAATGTTGTGTGTCAATTATGCCTCAATTAAAAAAAAGTAATAAGAGCTTTTTCAGTGCTTTTACATTTGAAGAAGGCTTTTGCATTAGTATGGAGTTCCCCTGCCTCGGGGTTTGGTGAGCCTGTGGGTCTTGGTCCCGTTCCAGACCCTTTTACAAACAAGAGGCCGTTTACAAATGTTCTTAAAACGTCTATTAAGGAATTAACTGTCCTCCCATTGATCGGTCTCACGCTGCTATTTTGGCAGACAGCTGGCTGAGTTTTATTCCTTAGTGATAGGTTTTCTTTCTCTCTTTTTTATTCTTTAATTGTCTCCGGAGTGTCCTCTGTACTGGTGTTTCTGAGACTATGCTTGCCTCATTTCGTGGGAGGCGCAGTGCTGCCACGTTCGTAGCAGTGCTAACCCGTGGGGCCTCCATCTCTTCTTGGCTGTGCCCTAAGGAAAACATCTTTTCAGGTGCTTGGGCTGCAGGTACTGAGTGCCTCTTGCCTGAGGATGCAGGTGTGTCCCAGGTGACCCCACATCTCCCTGAGAGAACGAGGTGGAGGGTGTATGATGGGAACGCAGCAAATTAATGAACAAGAGGAGAACGAAAGAATAAAATTGCCACAGCCTCTTCCCTGATGATGAGGCAACTCCGGTGTACCTGGCTGGCTCAGTCAGAAGAGCGTGCAACTCTTGATCTTGGGGTTGTGAGTTCAAGCCCCATGTGAGTGTAGAGAGCGCTTAAATAAAAACTTTAAAAATCAGGGATCCCTGGGTGGTACAGTGGTTTGGCGCCTGCCTTTGGCCCAGGGCGCGATCCTGGAGACCCGGGATTGAATCCCACGTCGGGCTCCCGGTGCATGGAGCCTGCTTCTCCCTCTGCCTGTGTCTCTGCCTCTCTCTCTCTCTCTCTCTGACTATCATAAATAAATAAAAATTAAAAAAAATTAATCATTCCCCTCAAAAAAAAAAATCAGTTAAAAAAAAAAAGTAGAAGGTAGCTCTGATGCTGTCAGCTGAGCTTATGGTGGAGTTTGAGCGTATGGCCAGGAAGAGGGCCGGGGCTTCCCATCAGTCGAAGAGATGGGGGCCTTGGGGCTGCGTGGCCGGCATGGCTTCATGCTCTTGGGCCAGCCACGCTTCACTTGTTGGGATCATCATCTTTTTTTTTCAATAATAAATTTATTTTTTATTGGTGTTCAATTTGCCAACATACAGAATAACACCCAGTGGGGATCATCATCCTTTTAGACAAGTGGCATCACAGTCCGCCTCTTCAGGTCGAGTCTGTGGCCTGTGCGACCTTGTTGCCCTGGACTGTGGGTGGGGAGCTGAGGTCCTTGCCTGCACACGGTCGGAGGCTTCCGTAAGAACAGGGAGCTCGGTGCCGCAGGCCGGCTGTCTGTCGTCATGACTAGAAAAGGTGCAAAGGCCTCTGGGATCGTGCGGCCCGGCTCTGTCCTCCCCCAGCGTTCTTGGAGCAGCTGGCCTTAGTGATCTCCCTGCCTGAGCCACCGCCTAGCCGCTGTCCCCTCCAGGCCAGAGGCTCTGGCAAAACGAGGAGCTTCCCTTCCCTCCCGGTGCTTGGGGACCCTTCGCTACTCCCCCACATGTCACAGCCGCAGGTACGAGGAGCCCCGGGCTGTGCTCCCCCTCCGTCGGTGCTCAGC